AAAATAGTTTTTAGTAAATATAGATTTGTTTTGTTTTGGTAATTTCGCGCAAAGCTACACGAGGGCTATCTGCGCTAGCCGTCCCTAATTTAGCAGTGTAAGATTAGAGGGAAGGCAGCTAGTCATCACCACCCACCGCCAACTCTTGGGCTACTCTTTTACCAACGAATAGTGGGATTGACCGTCACATTATAACGCCCCCACGGCTGAAAGGGCGAGCATGTTTGGTGGGATGCGGATTCGAACCCGCAACCCTCAGATTGTGAGTCGAGTGCCTTATCCACCTGGCCATGCCGGGCACAGAAATATAGATAAATGTAGAGTGTGGTGTGAATGTTTATTTGGTGATCCAAATGATCTTAGGAGTTGGTGTGAATATTTATATAAAAATCTGGATGACATTGAGGATGGGAGTGAATATTTATCTAAAAATCTGGATGACATTAAGGATGGTGTGAATATTTATTCAAAAATCCAGATGACCTTAGGGGGTTGTGTGAATGTTTATTTAAAAATCCAGATGATCTTAGGGAGTGGTGTGAATGTTTATTTAAAAATCCAGATGACTTTAGGGGGTGGTGTGAATGTTTACTTAAAAATCCAGATGAACTTAGCGGTTGGTGTGAATGTTTATTTAAAAATCCAGATGACCTTAGTGGGTGGTGTGAATGTCTATTTAAAAATCCAGATGGCATTAAGGATGGTGTGAATATTTACTTAAAAATCCAGTTGACCTTAGGGATTGGTGTGAATGTTTACTTAAAAATCCAGTTGACCTTAGGGGTTGGTGTGAATATTTACTTAAAAATCCAGATGACCTTAGGGGTGGTGTGAATGTTTATTGTTTAACAAAGCATATCACTAACCAATGAAGCTCCAGATCAATACCACAAAAAATACAAACACTAAAGTAAAAAAGGAGTAAACATCGATTGCCGATGATACAAATCCCTTGGTTACTGTCCATTCAAGTCCTCCTTACATCTCTAGTTTAGTACAACCTAGCAAACATCTTCAGAGACTACAGTATGAAACACTAGTCATTAATGATGCACGACCTTAGATCTCTGTCCATTCTGTTCCAGCCTGCACCACTAGGTTGATACTGAATGGAAATAAGGTATTTTAATGACTGCCACCAGGGGTATTCTTCTAAGTCCTCTTCAGATTGAGCCTAAGGAACAAAATAATAAGGTAACATAAATACATTCCAAGCATCTACAGCCACACAAAAAGACAATATTTAAATAACACCCATCTGTTTAAGATTAAAATACTTCTCAGAAACTACCTTAAAATCTATAAAAACTAAGCAAAGTTTCAAACTACTAAATGACTTAATTTAAATGTATATTATCTCAAGTCATTGTTATACCAATATCAAAGTTTTTGAAGAGAAATTCTAAGTAACTATAAACAAAGGTAATAAGATCAATTTATTTTCACTAATAATAATAATAACTCATTAGCCAAACTGTGAGTAATTATAGTCTTTTTTTTCACATTTTATATAGCAAAAACAATTACTGAATTAAAGTACAAATTAAAATCAATCAAATTAATATACAAGGAAAAAATGTAAGTTAACTGAAAATTTTATAAGAAAGTTGTATAACCCTAACTACACTACACATCCAATTTATAATAAGTTTATAAGTTTATTGTAGTTATTATTAAAGTGTGTTAGTCTCCCCTTTGTCTTGCAGCATCCATGTCAGTACCATAACAGAAATATATAAAAACACAGAAAATAAAGAACTTTTTAAACTGAGTATACAATGTCTATATATCTATTCTGTAGTTTGTGAAGGTTCAAGATTCGATCTTTCTTTGAGAAAGTTACAATGTAAACCTTGATAGAGTGCAATATATTTACTGGCAATAAAAAACAGAACATCAGACCGTTAACTTTATCCATATGGGTTGGTCAAAATGTGAATGTCATGACGTTTTTACAAAGTTACATCCAAAACTTAATTAAACAATTTCATTATGAATGTATGTCGTTAAAATTAGTATAAAAAAGTAGTTTATAGTTCAACTTTTTCTGTTATCTTAGTTTTAATTTCAAAAGGAAATATCTAAATAAATTCTCAATCTTCACTACAGTCTACTCTCTGTCGACTGGTATGTCTGGTGCTCTGATTTCTCCTTTGGAGACATTTTGTTTCATGGCTTTCGGGGGGGTCCACCTAATTACAGCAGTAATGGACTTTTTTTAATCTATTTATAGCTTAGTTAGCATAAAATTAAAAGAAAGTAGAACTAAAAAGGTAAGAAGCTAAGGCTGTTTGAATAAATATTTGTAACTGTCCGTTAGAATCTGCTGTCATCCTAGTAAAAAATAAGTATTTTGGATCTTGTTTCATACTTTTCATTCACTGTACATTGATGATATTGCTACAATTAGTGTTAGAGTAAATAAAAAAAAGATAAATAAAGTTTTATAGGAAAATAAAACATTTGATATACATTTAGAAAGTCCTAGAAATTATTCAAATGAAATATGAAACTGTAAGATGAAAACAAGTGTTTTCAATTCTTTCACTCAGACTAACTCAGTAAAAGCTTTCCAAATTCACAGTCAAATCTTTAGTGAAAATACTTTATAAAAAAAAAATCTAACTTTTTGTGTACAACAAGCTTGTAATGTTTACTAAAAGCTTGCCAAACTTAGTGAAGATAAACTTAGTACATTCAGTTACGGAACGTATAGTTTCATGGTTACAAGGTCAATCAAGAGTTAATAGTTATAACTTAGTACATTCAGTTACGGGACGTATAGTTTCATGGTTACAAGGTCAATCAAGAGTTAATAGTTATAACTTAGTACATTCAGTTACGGGACGTATAGTTTCATGGTTACAAGGTCAATCAAGAGTTAATAGTTATAATTTAGTACATTCAGTTTTGGGACGTATAGTTTCATGGTTACAAGGTCAATCAAGAGTTAATAGTTATAACTTAGTACATTCAGTTACGGGACGTATAGTTTCATGGTTACAAGGTCAATCAAGAGTTAATAGTTATAATTTAGTACATTCAGTTACGGGACGTATAGTTTCATGGTTACAAGGTCAATCAAGAGTTAATAGTTATAATTTAGTACATTCAGTTACGGGACGTATAGTTTCATGGTTACAAGGTCAATCAAGA